TATCGGATTGTTGGGGGCGATATGCTGACTCTGTCAACCGCTTAGAGAGGGCTGAAAGCCCTATGAAGCGGCATATAAGTCTAACTCCTATTGTTATTGATTGTTTTCACCGCCAGGAAATTTCCCTATTGGTTCTAGATTGGTTCTCTCCTCGGTTAGTATCCATCCTTTTTGAGAATTTGATCATAGCACTGGAAAGTTTTGAGTTAGCCTCCAAGGTTTGTCCATGTTTATACAACCCGAGCCCTTTTCTGTCATGGCTTCCTAAGCGGGATGTTTGCTGTAAATATGTCGGGCAGGGCTAATTTTTCAAGTGGCCGATAGTTTTTGTGAGCTGCCTTGTCCTTCGATCCCATCTGCAGGAATAATCTTATCCGTGAAGACCCGGACGGAGCAGCACATCTCCAAGCTGAAGCAAGCCAATCTGCAGCTGAGTAGCCAAGTCCAGCAGCTGGAAAGCAGCTGTGCTGAGAAGGTAAGTTTTTTAAGGCCTTCAAGGGGGTCCAGCAGGAACCACAGGACTTCGGTGCTCCTGGCCACTGGATTTATTCCAATGTCATGGCACAGTTTTGGTTTTGCCCTTACAGAACCCTTTGGTTTTTTCCCCCCATGAAATGGAAAACGTAGCTGGGAACAAAGGAAAAGAATCAATAGTGAGGACTGAGAAAATTCAGATGTTTATTCAAGTGAAGATCCAATTGGCCATAGAGCTTTCAAAGCTCTCCGAGCATTTAAATTCCACTTTTTCTTTTCTGTTTCCCCCCTTCCCCCCAAAATGGAAAAGGGCTGTTGATAAAAATGATGCATCGAGGGACACAGGAAATCACCTGCCCTCCTTTTTCCTCCAACAGGAAATAGAAATTGAAAGGCTGACCAACCTGATGAAGCAACATGGGCTCCTCAACCAGGCCAAATAAGGCGCCTGAGCTGGACCAAACCTCTTCCTTGGATTCTGTTCTGGCCCTGAGAAAACCAGTTTTACATTTGACAGGGTGACCTTGTAAACAGATCCTTTTGGCACATTTATCCGCATGCCGGCTGCTTTCCTCCGGAGCTGATGCCCTTCAGATAGAGTGGACGCCGCCTTCCGCCATCCTCCCAAGTCCTGCTCGGAGGCGGGTTTGGTTGGAGGGCACCCAGCTGGGGGGACTCGGCTGGCCTCGATCTCTCCTCTGGAAACCCCACGTGGGTAGAACAGCTCCAGCACTCTAAAATGCGCCCTGCCGTTCTTTCTTGTACAGCTGTACAGTTCCACAAGACTTAGGGGAAATAATAATAATAATAATCATGTAATAAATTCAAATCCATACTGGGAATTGGCCTCTGGTAGTTCACCAAAGCTGCCCTTGTAAGAGTCGGAAGGGGTTTCTTCAGGTACGAGGACAGAATCCTTCTCCAACGTCCCTGTTGCAGAATGTTAATTCTTTTATTTTTCTGATGCCCTTTGAGCATCTGGGCTCCGGGATCCGTTAACGATGGCATCTTAAGTTCCCGGAGGCCCCCCGTTATACCTGACTCGTGTTATCGCAAGCCAAGTTCTCCAATCGGGGGGCTCCACCTCCCAGCCTTCCCGTCTGCTTGTTTCTCCTGCGCAGCAGCCCCTGGCAGAACCCATGCCTCGGTCCGTATCCGCTTATGAACTAGCCGCAGACTTTCAACCAAACTCTTGCCACGGTCCACCGTAATCCCAGCTGGGAGTCTTCCCAGAGTCGATGCTGGCAGAAGCGACGGGCGGTCTCTGCTCCCTTGGACGCAACAGCTGTTTCCCGCTTCAGCCTGGCTCTGAAGAACGACACCCACCCACCCTTTTTAAAAGAAAAACGAGGCCGGCCTCTTCCGGGTTCTGCAGGGGGTTTTAAACAAAAGGGAAGAAAAAATCAAACGGCAGGTGGGCCTCGATGGTGGGCCAAGCTTTGTATCCCGGCTGTGCAGGGGCAGAGATATCCACAAAGGAGACGGAGCTGAATATCTCCACGATGCTTTCGCTTCCCGGCTCGACCTGCGAGAGAGAGAGAAAAAGACCCCATCAAACCACCACTTCCCCCCCCAAAAGGCATCTAGACCAGTGTTTCTCAACTTCTGCAACTTTTAAGGTGTGTGGACTACGATGCCCAGAATTCCCCGCCCAGCCGTGCTGCCAGGAGTCAATGTTACCCGTTCAAGAGAGAATGCCAGTTTTATTGGGCAGATGTCTTCACAGAAAACAATTCATGCGCAGTTTGGATTGAGATTCAAATAAGTCTTATAAAAGTCCCGTATAATATCTATCCAAAATAAGCAGTGCTTCTTTCCATTCCCCATCGGTACACAGTTTTACCATTTCATACCAGACAGAAATCCTAAAATTTTGATCAGTCCAAAAGCTTAGAAAGTATTTTAAAAACATCGGTGGATCTATATTCTTTACTCTTCTGCCCTTCCGCAGATGTCTTAACACTCCACCCACCCATCGTCCCTTGCGATCACGGAATGAGTGCGCTAAAGTTAAAAGTAAGCTCCCAGTGTTCTTCCATCCCCCCCCCCCCAAAACAACCTCCCTTTCCCAGAAGTTCACCACCCACCTGGGGTAAGGGGGCCGTTCTTACGGTCACCGTGACGCTCTTGATTTTAGCCTGGGGGTTCACCAAGGAGCCGTATTTAGTCCACTTCACGTGCACTTCAAAGGAGACGGGGATTTCACAGGTGGCCTGGAAGGGAGTCAGAAGTCACAAGGGCCCGCTTTGCATGAGGGGAGGGGCCCTCCTCCTCCCCCCCCCTCCAGCTAAGCATGCAGGATGTCACCTACTACTGCATTTTGTCCCGTAAACAGGGCGTGGAGCGTTTTGAGTCAGCGGTGAGAGCGCATAAATTGCTAAGATAAGAATGAAAGCAGCCCCCACACTGCTTGGGGGACATTGGTAAATTCCCCAGCATCGATTTGTGCTGTTTCGAGTTTTTTTTTAAAACTTAGCCTACATATTACAGATTTATAGATGATCAGAGTTGGAAGGGACCTTGTCCAACTCCCCCAAGCAGGAGACCCTCAACCGTTTGACAGATGCCAGTCCAGTCACTTATTGAAAGCCTCCAGGGATGAAGCTCCCACAACCTCTAAGACAGTGTTTCTCAACCTTGGCAACTTGAAGATGTCCGGACTTCAACTCCCAGAATTCCCCAGCAGTGGTTAGGACAGTGTTTCTCAACCTTGTCAACCTTGCGAATGCTGGCTGGGGAATTCTGGGAGTTGAAGTCCGGACATCTTCAAGTTGCTAAGGTTGAGAAACACTGCTCTAAGGCAACTTCTGCTCTATGGGTTAATTGCTCTCACCGTCAGGAAAATTCTATTTATTTCCATGTTGAATCTCTCTCCTTGGTCAGTTTCCATCCATTGTTCCTTTGAAAAATAGCTTGGCTCCCTCTTCTTTGGGGCAGCCCCTGAGATAATGGAAGCCTGCTCTCCTGTCTCCCCTGGTCCTTCTCTTCCCTAGACCAGCCATGCCCAGTTCTTGCAACCGTTCTTCCTATGTTTTATCCTCCAGTCCCCTCATCATCCTAGTTGCTCTTCTCTGCACTCTTTCTAGAGTCTCCACATCTTTTTTTTTATAATGTGGTGACCAAAACTGGATGCTGTTTTCCAGGTGTGGCCTTACTAAGGCTTTATAGAGTGGTATTAGTCCCTCACTATACTTTGTAGAACTATATATTCTAGAATTATAAATTATCACAATAGTTTGCAGAACTCAAAGGAAGTGGCCGTTACGTGGCCTATTTGCACCCCCCACCCCCAAATAGTCTCGGGCTAGTTTCTCTTCCAGCAGAGTTCTTGAGGTGAAGAAAACATCCGCCCAGATCTTAGTCTGACTTCTTACCGGTTTGGTGGAATTGTAAGAGATCTGGACCCAGTCCGGTCCGTTCTGAGGCAAGGAATCTCCAAAAGAGGCCACGTAGTCTGGGAAATTTTGGCCCTTCAGCACCCTTAGGATCTCTGGAGCCAGAAGTGTACATTCGGCACTGCCGGGAATGCTTCAAGAAAGGAAACGGTCATCAGCAACCCTGTGGCGGATGCCTGTGGAAGAGCTAAGTGAAAGTGGGCTCGTGTTCTTTTTGAAAGTTGGGGTTACTCAGAAATCAGCAGAGGGGAAATAAAAGAGAGGGCCCTTCCCCAATGTGCTGACTTCCAGAAGAGGGCAGAGAAACCCCTCCCCTCATCCCTCCACAAAAGCCCCCCAGCAATTCCTGAGGATTTCGGGACCAGAAAGACTGACTACCATACTGGACGGGGTCGTTGTTGCGGTTCCACCACAAAACCGCGCTCGACTAAAGGGCGCTTGACGAAACCGCGTAGCTGACGTCATCACAGCGCGACAACAGCG